TTTTTACATAAATTCTGTTTAGAGAATTATTTAGTCCTTCGCCTAGGTGTTCTGAAATGTTAAGTCTGATCTCTGACAGACTAGAGTATTGACATTTAGACTGGAAATTTTAGCATATGAAGTATAGAACAGGACATTAGCTGTTCAGTGTCTTCATGTCCTATATTTTTAAAAACCAAGAAACTACACCAAAGGCTCACTAATCACAGTCTTGTTTTCTGACCATTCAGACCAAGCCAAACCTCAGTCCACTTATCCTGCAAATACTTGAATAAAATGGTCTTGGTAACAAGAACTGGGTTCACACTTGAATGTATCTGGGATCAAACCTTAGAATCCAGATTATGTGGGAAAAAAAGATTAAGCCTGTTGTTCCCTTTTTCTCTCAATATTGCTAACCCCTGCATTTAGTGTTAATGCTACACAGTGTTTGTCATTTTAGAAATAAAGCAAGAGTAGTTCTTATCTTAGAAGTAACTGGGTAAGGATGCAGTAAAGGTCTTCATTTAATTTTCATTTCTGCCAACAAGATGTTCTCTGTGGTGGACACAGCCTAGTTTTGTATTTCTGCCTGTCTTCTAGATAAGCTTCTCACTGTCAATTGAATATACCTGAATATTTCTGGGGACTTTTCAGGAAATAACTAGGACTTACTGCCCACCCCAGTCCTGCTGAAGAATGGAAGGGAAGAAGGAGGTAGAGGCATCCCTGTGTCCTGCTGATCCTTTCATTTCCCCTTCTGAGCTTGTCTGCTCTCCCACTTCCCATGTCTACCCAGAGCACACTGCCTTCTTGCACCACATACAAAGACTGGCACATCACACTTCTCACATCAGTCCTCTAACTGGCAATACAACTCAAGTCTTTCTTTGGCTTCCCATAAGAACTCACATCCTGCCTGAGCTTAGAAAGTGAAGTGATTCAGTTGTAACGTAGAGGATTCATAGGTTCTTGACTGTATCAGATATTCACTGAAAGCAGTATGATTTTGTGATTGCTGCTATAGAAACCTATATCCGGCTGCTTTGTATCCAGAAAATTGTTTTAACATATTTTCTGCAGATCTTTGGAATTTGGGCTGGGATTAGACAGAGATCTTCCTGCCTCTGTCTCCCAAGTGTTGGGATTAAAGTGGTGCATCACCAATTTTACTTAGTTTAAATAATCAGCTTCTCAGGTAAGGTTTAATGTGATAGAAGGGTCTTAGCACTAAAAATGATTTAAAGACAGTTCTAAGCAGAAGGAATTACCACAAGAAACAACTGGGTGTGGTAGTCCACACCTTTAATCCTAACACTTTAGAGGCAGAGGCACATCTCTTGAGTGTGAGGCCAGCCTGGTCTACATGGTGGTGGTGGTGGTGGGGTGGGGTGTTGATTTTCCAGTAAGTCATTTCTCTTGAAGTTTTTCTGGGAGTTCCAGTCAATGACTTCTGCCGCCCATAACTACATAGGAGATTGGGAAATAACAATGTTTAGCTGGGCACACAGCCAAGGGTGTGTTGGATGGGCAGCTACCAGTGTACACTTCAACAATAAGTTCACCTATTGGTTAAACCAGCAAAAACTATTTTTAAAATGTAATGGAGTGAAATCCTGTTCACAACAGCAACAAAAACATGAGAATGGGCATGATGGTGCTCACCTGTTATTTCAGCTACTTTAAAGGCTGAGGTAGTGGACTGGAGAGATGGCTCAGCGGTTAAGAACACTGTTCTTACAGAAGACCCAGGTTTGAATCCCAGCACCCACATGGCAGCTAACAACTGTCCATAATTCCAGCTCTAGGGGATCCGACAGCCTCTTCTGTCCTCCACAGGAATGACATGACACGGGTGCACTTACCTACCTGCAGGCAATACAAGCATACACATAAAAGTACTAAAATATTTTTTTTAATTAAAAAAAAAAAAAAAGGCTGAGGTAGGAGTATGCAGAGTTCAAGGCCAGCCTGGTCAGCTTAGACTGCCTCAAAATAAAAAGTAAAAAAGAGGGTTGGGGATTTAGGTCAGTGGTAGAGCATTGCCTAGCAGGTGAGGCCCTATGTTTAATATCTAGTACTAAAAAAATTTTCCTTAAGTTGTGAAGAAACCTACCACCAAAGGATGGGAAGCCATGTGAGACACTGTGTGGGGTGAGAGGGAGGCGGACATGCACTAAGAGCACAGAGTAGGCCTGAAATGTTTCTAGGTGGAAGCACTTGGTAAGGATATCTGTTCCCTACAAACTATTCTCTAAATTTGATCAACCTAAACTTTTAACATATTTATAGGCTTGATAAAGTTGTAAATTTCATCTAAAATTGTTCATATGCTACAGAACTATTGTAGTTGGTTGGGAATAGCCAAATAGACTACTAGAAACAGACATGTGTCTCCCTGCAAGTATACTAGAGGGAAATTTCAAATTGGCAAAGAATGAACAGTTCTCAGTCCCCACTGTGACAGTGACTGGCCACAATTTTCTTTTCATAGCATTAAACACTGGTCAGTGCCCTGAGAACACTAGCTGCAACTCAGCTACATAGAAATTACAGGTGACCATGGATCACCAGGTTACAGACTCTTCATCATCGTAGGAAGTTCCATAGGATGGCTGTTAGAGGTGGCAAAAGGGACCTGCATGCCCACGCAGGACAAAAGTTAGGTCATGGAGCCTTGGCTTTGGTATTTTTTTGTTTAATCTTTAACTCTGCAAGTAATTTAAAATCATTTGCAAACCACTTATCTGTAGATGGTGGTCTTCCATATGGTCGACAAAACCTAAATTTATTTTCTGCACTCTTTCCCCAGAGCAGTGATAGTGTTCATCTTTGTGGTTGGTGTTGTAGTTACTCCATTTGGCTACTCAGTGGCATTAAGTGCCTGCTTAGGATACTTCTTAAAATTTCTTTTCAAGGTGATAAAACAGACTCTGCTCCCGACTCTGCCTGTGCTCATGAGGTAAAATTTGAGGCTATTTTTCCAAAGTGTGCATGCATAAGTTGAGAATCTTTTATCTAAAAATCCTTAGGCTCAGAAATTTTTCCAGCTTTGAAGTATTTGCATAGATATTACCTAATGAGCATCTGAATCCAAAATTAAAAATGCTCCAAAATCCAAAGCCTTTTGCATTGCGTCAGCATGTAAGAGGATTCAGGTTGCAGATTAGGGATGCTCAGCCTGTACTGTCCCTGGGCCTGTAAGTAGGGATAGGAAAGGGCACTGTGTTAGCATGGGGGTGATTTGATATTAAAAGTCTCCACCATCAGTTGCATTTAATCTCCTTGCTTTTGTTGTTGACATTGATATCCCAGGAAAATATCACTCTGTTTTCCAACATGAGGCAATAACTGCCCGCAAATAAGTCGCTAGAGAACATTTTACATTGATCTGCCTTCCGAACACATTCTTTGTCCACTGTATATGAGTTACATGTGTATATGTATACACACAATGTGTTCACTGCTCTTCTAAGCAGTGCCATTGAAGACTTTCACAGTGATGCAGTGACTGTTTATAAATAAATACTTCAAGTGGGTTAAATCTCCATTCATGTAGCAACTTTTTTTGGTCTTTTTGAGGCAATCACCCTGTAGCCCCAGCTGGCCTGGCACTCACTGTGTAGACCAGGCTAGGCTAGCCTTGAACTAGCAGAGATCCGCCTGCCTCAGCCTCCCAGTGCTGGGATTAAATGTGTGTGCTATCACACCCACCTAACATTTGTTGTTGTTGTTTTTTAATTTTAGAAATGTAGCTTCTCCAGACATCAGACTCATGTGCACACTATACTGTGAATATGTCCTCCTGCATACTCAGAAATACCTAGTAACCACAGTCATTATTTTGACTTTAAAAGTTGATTTCTTGTTAAGTTGCTAATGTTCTTTTCCTATCTAGCAAGTAACTCCCAGCCTGTTTTCCTGTAAACCCTGTAGTATCTGGTGATTTCAGAAAGCTTCACAATTCCTAAGTCACACGATTTAAATTTAAGGCACATAAATATATGTATTTGTACTCTGAGGAAGATCATGGATCCAGAGAGATCTTGAGACATTTAAATAGACTCCAGAGGTGGACTGGATTAGGAAGCTTCCGAATCAAACTGAAAACTAAGGTACATTGATTTATTAACTTAAACAAATATAAGCACAAGGCTTATAATTTAAAAAATAGAAAATTAGACTATAAGAAACAAAAGTGAGTTTTGAATTTGTCATCTTTGGTAAATCATAAGATCTGTGTGGTTTATCTAAAATTCTTTATTGGGAATTATCAAACACAAGTGAAGCTAGCAGGAATTAAGCATTTAGTAGTTTTTGTTTAAATTTGTAGTGTTAATAAAGCCTAAGCAACAAAAGATCACTGTTTTACTGTTTAAGGAAGGTTTGAGGTGTCAGCTGATATTTTGAGTACAGCTGTTCTGTAGGAATGCAATGCTCGGTGGCTCTCCCCCACCTGGAACAGTCTTAGGAGGTAGGCATTTTTCTAGGAGAATTTCATTCTGACTGTTTTGGGGAACCATATACAGCCCAGGGAAACTTGTTTGTGTGTAACTTGTAACAAAACCGTTCTCAGTACAGGAGTCGTGATGAGTGAATTGAAGTAACGCCTTGAGGTGTGATGGCTGTTGCAGTGTCCTCTAAGATGCAGGCCTCAGAATTCTCTAGAAGCAGGGGTTGCTTGTTTCTGGTGTATGTGTGTAGGTAGAGAGGTCAGCAGATTCCAAGTGCTCAAGTGTTCCTATTGTGTGCAGTCCCTTGAGTTCATAGTTCTACATGAGCTCTTCTGCTATCACTGACTTCTTCATATACTCATGTCTACCTGCATCTTCAGCTTCCAACAGAACAGTGTGCAAAGAAACTAGAGAACTGCTATGTGCCCTGTTCAGCTCCACAGGCCGTGATGCTGCCTGCCCGTGTCCCTTAGGCGTCCTGGCAGATGGGTACTGAGAAAGCAATGTTAGCAAATTATTAAACTGTCATTTAAAATTCTAAATGCCTTCTTACTAATCTTTCCCTAGGGACATTCGAGCTATATCACCCACCTTGACTGGTCCCCAGATAATAAGCATATAATGTCTAACTCAGGCGACTACGAGATACTGTACTGTAAGTATGAATAATCATATTATGGGCTCAGATGTATCTGTCAGGCAGTACACAGGCTGCATGGAATTTGAACTGTGCAGAGTGCATGCTGGTGTCTAACCTGACAGTTTATGTTACTCTGAGCTAAAGAATGAGTCTCACATGTTCACTTCTCTAAGAAAGTAATGAATGCTTTAAATGGTGTACAGCTGAAGGCACTTGCCTTGATGAGCAATCACTCTGTGAGATTGATGCAGCTCTAAATAGTTTTTCATTTAACAACTTTTCCTGAAGGCAGGGAGTATTATAGATGAACACTTAGACTTTTAGAGAAAAAATTAAAATTTCTATGGGAAACAACTTTATAATTCTGTAAGAACCTGTTCTTTTCCTTTTTAAATGTATCTTAATGTTTTTCAGTGTATGGATTATAAATACAAGTAAAACGTGACTAGTTTGAATCAAGATGCACTTTCAGATACATTTATACTCAGCACTATGATTATACTTCCTGTTTCTAAATTTAAAGGGGACATTGAAAATGGCTGCAAACTAATCAGGAATCGATCAGATTGTAAGGACATCGATTGGACGACATACACCTGCGTGCTAGGCTTTCAAGTCTTTGGTAAGAATGTGATAGTTAATGTGAAGAAGGGAATCTGAGGTTTTTATATACTTGCTGAGTCTATAAATGAAAAATATTGTGTTTAAAAGTGTTATTCCACCGGGCGTGGTGGTGCACGCCTTTAATCCCAGCACTCGGGAGGCAGAGGCGGGGGATCTCTGTGAGTTCAAGGCCAGCCTGGTCTACATAGTGAGTTCCAGGACAGCTGGGGCTACAGGGAGACCCTGTCTCAAAAAGACAAAAAACAAACAAACAAAAAAAAAAAAAACTGTTATTCCTGGGGCAGGAGAGATGGCTCAGTGGTTAAGAGCACTGACTGCTCTTGCAGAGGACCTGCGTTTGATTCCCCGCACCCACATGGGCTACGAACCGCCTTTAACTCCAATTCCAGGGGAATCCAAAGCCCTCTTCTGAATGCCGCATTGCACAACATGGGTGCACTCACATACATGCAGGCAATACACTCACATAAAAATAATAAAATATTTTTAAGTGTTATTCCTATTAATTTTTAGATTCAGAAAAATTATATATAATAAGATGGAGCTAGTAAGAGATTTTTTCTTTACAGAATCCACACTTTTGGACTCTAGCAAATATGAAAGTCAGGAGGAAATTGTAGCTTTATTTACATCTCATTCATATGGTGTACGTTGATCTAAAGTGTACAATACAATGATTTTCCTATATTTACAGTTGTAAAATTTATCATGATCTAATCTTAGAACTTATTCACCCTAAAAGAAACCCCATACCCATCAGTCACTCCTCTCACCCTCTACCAGATCCCAGAAGCCACCAGTCTGCTCTCCCTGCCGGTTTTCTTATTCTAGACAAATCACTAAACAGATGTGTATAATAGTGATCCATTGACAGTGGCTTCTCACTTGGCATAACATTTTAAGAATTATAAATGATATAGCATGTACCAGCATGTCTGTGGCTCTGTGGTACCCTTTTTATGGATGTCATAGTGACATCTTGTTAATCTATTCATCAGTTGATGAACACATGTTGTTTCCACTTTTCAGCCGTTATGAATAATGCTACTATGGACATGAGCAGGGTTTTTCCAGACAAGTTTTCATTTCTCTTGGGTATATACCACAGATGGGAGTTCATAGGTCACTTGTATGTTATACCTTTTGAAGAACTTCTTACTAAAAGGACTGCTTTACAAAGTGGCTGTGCCATGTACATTCCCACTAGCAGTGTGTGAGTTCCATTTTCTTTATTTTTATTATTTTATGTGTATGAGTGTTAGGACAATATTATGTAAGTGCACCCACGTCACGCAGTGCCTGAAGAGGACAGAAGAGGATGTTGAATCCCCTGGAACTGGAGTTACAGACAGTTGTTAATCTCCATGTGAGTGCTGGGATTCAAAACTGGGTCCTCTGAAGAACAGCCACTGCTCTTACACACACACACACACACACACACACACACTCACAGTGTTTTTAGTAAATTTACCAAAATAAAACATTTGTTAGCCTTTAAATGTTCCATAGTTTTAAAGCTACCCTTAATAAAGTTTGTCCGCTCAGGCTGACCATGATCACCAGTGCCTTGTAATGACTCAGAATTAGCACATTTGGTATGTGTTCTATTTGAACATAAATAAATGTTTCCAGGAAAATTCTGTGGGATAGCACACTAGACCAGTGGATGACCTGCCAGTTTCCATAATGACTTCTTGAAGGCTTCTTCCTTAAAAGGAACATGCGGTCCTAGTGGCTCCATTTTCCTATTTTACTCTACAAGTGACTGATAACTTTTAAGTAGAGACTGTAAAATGGAGATTATTGTTGAGGTAGGTGAATAGCTTTGCTAACAAATTAGCATTTATTAGCACCATCTACTGGTCCCTGTTGAATAGGGTTGGGTCTCTGTTAACCATCTTAAGGCTGTTTTGGGTTTAATGTATCTAATATTACAGTACATTTTTAGGCTAATTTTCTGTATCCCTATGCTATCCTAGGCGTCTGGCCAGAAGGATCTGATGGAACAGACATCAATGCACTGGTGCGATCCCACAATAGAAGGGTGATAGCTGTGGCTGATGACTTCTGTAAAGTCCATCTGTTTCAGTACCCCTGCTCCAAAGCCAAGGTAAAGTTCACTCAGTGGAAGCCAGTGCTGCCGTACCTTTGCCTGAAGATGGTGTACTGTCCTTGTTTGTTGCCCTTTTTTTGTTTTGATGTTTGTACTTTAAACGTATTTTCTAAGTCACCCATAATCCTGCCAACCTAGTAAAATTCTTCTCTAGCCATCTCAAAAGGGTAGTATGAAGCTCTGACATCTAGGACAGATACTTTCAGGTCTTTTAAAAAAAAAAAATAGTATGAAAGTACAGATACCTAGTTATTGTTTTGGTCCTTTTTTTATTTTTATTTATGAGAGATGGTCTTGCTGGCTTTGAATTCACCACAGTCCTCCTGCCTTGACCTACAAATGCTGAGATTACAGCGTTACACCACCATGACAGACTCCTTCCTCCTTTTCTATAAAGAAATATTAAAAGGGAATTAATGCCAATTTGTTCTTCAGATCTGGTGGCTTTGATTTGAATTAACCTGTTTTCATAAGCTGACTTAGTTTCCCTTGCCTAGTCATCTCCATTGCTTTAAGCAGGCATGTAAAGAATGGGTTTAATTTTCCTATCTGTCTGATTTATTTTATAGGCTCCTAGTCACAAATACAGTGCCCACAGCAGCCATGTTACCAACGTCAGTTTTACTCATAATGACAGTCACCTGATTTCAACTGGTGGGAAAGACATGAGCATCATTCAGTGGAAGCTTGTGGAGAAGTTACCTTTGCCTCAGAATGAGGTCATGGCAGACAGCACACTAACCAAAACCGCTGCCTCTTGCACTGAGAATGCTAGCCAATCCAGCACTCCTCCACTGCCTTCTTCCCAGCCCTTAACTGAGACAGCTGAGGAAGAAAGTAGAATAAGCAATTCTCCCACACTTCTGGAGAATAGCCTGGAGCAGACTATGGAGCCCACCGAAGACCACAGCGAGGAGCAGAGTGAGGGGGGCAGTGAAGACCTGGGTGGGATGGTTGATGAAGAGCCTGCCAAGGAGTTAAGTGAGAAGCAGAGGGCAGCCAGTCTTCCCAAGGACCACCCCTATGCTAAGACCCAGGCTTCAGGATTCTTTGTCCCTTCAGATAACAGGGTGGGCCGTGATGGGGAATAGGAATCACTGTTGATGGAGGTCTGTTTTCCAGGTCATCTGTTTTCTTCAGTAGTCTTATATGCCATCTGTGAGATGCAGCAAACCAAAAGGTTATTTGGAGTGCATTGAAAATCTAACCAAACTTAAATAGCAGGAGGAGACAGAACCGCGAGTGGGTCTCAGAAGTCACTGTGTATGGTATAAATACTGGAAACAAGCACTGCAGTTGTATCATTGAAATAAATCCATTATCTGAACGAGTTTTCTTCGGGAACAGCCGGAGGCATCACAAACACTGTTGCTCATCTACTGGCTCAGATTCCACTTTTTTTCCTGTTGCAGAAAAAGAAAGCAGGAAGAAATGTGCTGTTATTGTGGTATCGTCCCACCCCAAATGTCTAGTGGAACTTTTTTAATTAAGGAAAACTTCAGTATTGCTGAGTACAATGGTGTTGTCCTTTCAGATGATACTGCGTTTTCTTACACTACCAGTAGGTGTCCAGATGTGCTTCCTAGTCTACTGTGTAGGTGCTGCCTTTTCTAAGTTACTACAAGGAGTAGTCCTTCATTTCTTGTGTACAAATTATTTTATCCTACAACTAAGCATTGGTTTGTTGAAGAGCTTTTAATGTATATTAACCATGATTCTAAGAAATGGCAGACTCTCCAAGAAGGCCTTTCTTGGCCTAAACATTCTCTAATGTTTGGCATTCAAGTGAGTAGAAGAAAGGGGAAAAAACAAAACCCACGCCTTTAAAAGTGAACGGTAAGAATCACCTGGCTAATCTTAGCTTAGCCTTCATCATTATCTGTTTCCTCAGCAGAATAGAAACACAGTAAGTTTGAATTGGTGCTTGAAATTCCTTGGTTTAGTTGTAATTTTTATATTCAAACTAATTATGTTGAGGAATATGGTATTCAGAAAATTGCAAATTGTTTTTTACAGAGTGTGACTAATAGTCACAGTACTTTTTATAAATTGCATACTTTACAGACTTGATCTATGTGGTCATTTCGTTCCTGAGGTAGTTGCTGTGGGCCTTGCAGATATAATGTGGCTAGTTTCTATTTGGAGCGATGCATGTATTGAGATGCATTGGAAAGTTGGACTTTTTTTTTTTTTTCAAGTATTGTCAAATAACTGTTTTTCTTAAGTACGTTTCCAACTTTATAATAATTACAATTGTATTTCCTATATATTTGTTTATACTTTGATTACAAAAATCCTTTTTGTTTTCTTTTTTAACTTGATACATTGTTTTCATACTTTTTGTTGTTGGATCATGTTTAGAAACTTTGGATGTGTTCAGAAGTCTTAAGTATGCAAGTGTTTACGTGATTGTGCCATTCCAAAGTGCGTCTGAACTGTCATTCCTTTCTAGTATCTTCTCAGGAGTAATGCATATCAGGTATTTCATCATCGTTGGGAAATAAGAAAGCTCCAGTGAACTCCCAAGGACGCTTCTAGCACCTGTCCACACCCTGTGTGGAAGGGAGACTGTGCATCGAGATCAGAAGATGCGCACATCAAAGTACTCATATAGGCCTCTGTGTGTGTGGGTTATGTTCGTGTGTATATCTTTCCTTTTGTTTACAACTGTTTTTTTTTTATTATTTAAAAAAAAAAAAAGAAAAAACACCTCAAAGTAGCTCTCTTCCACAGAAGAGATAAATTCCAAGCCACCTGACTTTCTTTCAGTATGGTCTGAACACAGTCGTCAGAGAACATCTGTTTCAGGCATCTCTAGCCACCAGTTCGCAGTGGTGACGAAATCAGGCAGAGGCCATCTGGTCCTTTTGAGAAGTAAAGGAGGAGATGAACGAGCAGTTCTAAAAGAAAGTGCATTTCCTTTAGTGCCTGGGAGATACTGCTCTCCATGATAAGCAGGGAATTTATTTTGGGGACATCTGTCACCTTTGGGGTTGCCATGTACAATGAGATGTATAATCATGATACTCTTGGGTGGTAGTTTCCAAAGACACTACTAATACGCAGAAAGCGTTCCAGCTTCTAATGCTGGCAACTACTGTTTATGGTCAGTCAAATCTGTGATAATGGTTGGAAGTAGGTGGGATATGAAATTGTAGATGTTTTTAGAAAAACTTGTGAATGAAAATGAATCCAAGTGTTTCATGTGATGATGAGCCATTTCTATCATGCATTCCGATGTCATGGCAGAAAATTTTGAAGATTAAAAATAAACTGTTTCCTTTGCCTTTTCTTGTTGGGTGGTGGTGATTATCTGAGATAGTCTTGCTATATAGCCCAGGCTGGTCTTGGACTTATGGCAGTCCTGCCTCAGCCTCCCAAGCTAAATATGTTCCAACACACTCAGTCCCTTTGTCTCTTCATATGTGTCTTAACTTCATGTATTCTGATCGTTTCTGTGACTGTCCAGTTATGAGAAGACATAGCAGTTGAGAGAAAAACAGCATCTGACTGCTATTATGGACAGAAACATTCTGGTAGCAGCTAAACAGCTCATGAAGTTAGAGGAAATCACTACTACTTAAAAAACAAATCTTTATTGCTTTTATTTCATATGTTTGAGTGTATTGCCTGTGTATGTATAAGTACACCTGTGTCATGCAATGCCCATGGAGGTCAGAAGAGGGCGTTGGATCCCTTGGAATTGTAGTTACTAATGATTGTTGGTCATCATGTGGGTGCTGGGAACTAAGCCCAGATTGTCTCTGCAAGAACAGTCAGTGCAAGCTGGGTACAGTGGCGAAGGCCTGTAGTCCTAGCAACTTGGGAGGCAGAGGCAAGAGGATCTCTGTGAGTTCAAGTCCAGCTTGGTCTACATAGTTCCAAGCCAGCTGGGGCTACAGAGAGACCCTATAAAGAACAGTCAGTGCTCTTAACTGCTGAGCCATCTCTCCAGCCCCCAAAATTACCCCTTATGTATGCTCCATTTAATAGTGGAATCGCACAGCTTCGTTTCCTATCTACACTTTCTCTAATGCTGTACACTGGTTGGTCCTGGTGACCCTGGTTACCAGGCTGACCTGGCTGTCTCCCAGGGTTGGTCTTTTGAGGTCCTTGCACTTAGCAGGCTTACATTCCCTGCTTTCCCCCTCTGTGTGTTAGGTACATTTTTTCATTTTATAATCATGGAAATGAGTTTAATGGTTGCCTTACTCATCCTTGATGACTGCACTCTCACAGCTGTTCACACAAACTAACCCACACAAGGTGCTCCTGGGGTCAGAATTCCACTTCCACAGTAGAAGCTCCTGAACCACTAAATGAAGGCTTGTGTTTTGTTGGGGTTTTTTCCCCCTTAAAAAAGGAAATCTAGAAAAGAAACTAGAGAAAAAATGAATGAGATGTTAAGTACATTGAGGTTGTTAAGGCCCATAACTTACCAAAGGAACTAGGTTCCCAGCTTAAACTGACATTTAGTGGAACAAATAAACATATGCATGGGGAGGGGCAGTTTATGTGTTTTATTTATTTGGCTTTTTGAGATAGTCCCACAGAGCCCAGGCTGACCTTGACCTCACTGATAGGGTCGTAGCAAAGGAAGCAAGGTAGGAAGACCAAGTAACAGACCAAGTTCGTTTGGGAAGGGTCATGCCAGGACTTCATGCTTGCAGTTTCAATCTGTCAAGTTATGTCCTCATCTAAGAGACTTTTTTTTTTTTTTTTTTTGTCTTTTGAAGATAAGGTTTCCCTGTAGCCCCAGCTGGCCTGGACTTGCTATATCAACGAGGCTGGTCTTGATCTTACAAAGATCCTCCTGCCTCTGCTTCCTGAGTGCTGGGTTAAATGCTTGGACCACCATGCTCATTAACAAGGATAAAGACTCAGATTTGGGAAAGGAAATGAGAGAAACTAAGGAGAGAGCTCTCTCTGTCCAGGGTGACACCCTGTTGCCCGCAGAGATGTTGCACATCTGGCACTATCACTGAAACCAGGTCCTGATAGAACAGCCCATCTCCAGGATTTCCCAAAACTTGTGTCCAAGAACTGTGGACCCTCCAGGTGCTTTTCAGAAACAAACCATGCAGCCCTTTGTGCAAGTGCAACACCTGTTCCCCGTCGTGGGTGCAGGAATGTGGTAGTGGGAGCAGCAGGGTTCACCTTTGCAAGGGAAATTTGTTCTAGCCCTTTTCATCTGCCCCAGTAACTTCAAAGCTCTTGGCAAACAATCTTCCCAGCCAAAGGAACCTAGAGAGGAGCAAATCATCCCAAACTGACAGAAGACAGCTGTCTCCATGCAGATGTCAGCCTGATTTCTGTGTCCTGTCCCTTCATGAGTGATAGCCTTAGGAGACTGGCTTCCTGGACTTTTTTTTTTTTCTGACAGAACTTGCCAATCCAGAAAATCTAGCAGAAAACCTTGGTACCATGTCTTTCTCTCAAAGTATCTAAAAACAAATGTTCTGAAACAAAAGTTTGGTGTTCAGTAAACTATGGGAGAGTCATATAAGAAGATATTGTTAGGTGGTAATAGCTAACAACAATGGGCTTGATGACTTCAGTCCTTGCAACAGTCCTGAGTTCCATCCATGACCATTCTATAGATGAGGAACAGAGGAGCCAAGTAGCAGATACCTAGCAAGTGGCTGAGCCATGATTTGAGGGCTTGACCCTGGGTGACCAGTCTCCATGTTCCCCAACTGGAGAACATGTACATCCTAAGATAATGGTGGATGTCTCTCCTAAGGCGAGACACTGAAACAGGTTAGCCGACCGGAGGAAGTAATTAGGCTTCAGACTCCAGTGTCACCAAATGAAGGGCTCTATAGAAACAGATTAGTGAGAGCTGGGGCCAACGATGGAAGAGACATGTGACTTCAGAGGGATGGCACCTGGGAGCCCTTGTGATTTTGAAGTCTATCCTAAGTGATGGCAGTTGCATGAACCTGCATGTAGATTACATATCATCAAAGCCCACAACTGGTAAACACTGGGTAATCTGTAGATTACCAATGTAAATTTCCTGTTGTTACTACACAGATACATAAAGTGTCCCCATTGGGGGAAAATGAGGAAGAAAGGACTCTTGTCAGTTTCAAGCTTCATGTAAATCTATCATTTCAAAATAATAAAACTAAAATATAGCCGGGTGTGGTGGCGCACGCTTTTAATCCCAGCACTTCGGTGGCAGAGGCAGGCGGATCTTTGTGAGTTCAAGGCCAGCCTGGTCTACATAGTGAGTTCAGGTCAGCTGGGACTACAGGGAGACCCTGTCTCAAAAAGACCA